ATCTATGAGTAATTTGATTCCTTCCATCATTTCTTTCACCAACTGGGCCTCTTTGGCTGAGCCTCTTAGTAATTCCCTTTTCACGTCATGAACTTCCTCCGATTCTTCATTCAGAAGGACATCATAGCCGAGACGAATGTTGTGCAGAATTGGACCAATGGTCTCCTTCTTGTAAAATCGTTTAACCTGCTTCGGCTGTGGATAGCCTGGCTCTGTTGGACGTGTCGGCACCTGAATCACTGTTTCTTCCAAACCGCTCAAAAACATCAGTCTGTCGATTTCCTGTGCCTCGTCTCCTGCCACAAGGATCTCGTACCACTCATGGGCAAGCAGGAGTTGGTCCGCCCAGGAGATCAGCTCTCCTTTTTCCTCCGAATGCCGTGCGCGGAGTTCCTGGAACTCCAGCATATATTGCAGTGACTCTTTCACTGTATACGAAGTTTCCCATCTTTTTCCCTTGAGAGCGATGACGTCCAGTTTCGCCTGTTCGAGCCGTTCTTCAAACTCGTTGCACTTATCGCCACAATACTTCAATTTTTGCTGGATCTGTGCTTCTGTAAATTTCGATGGGGACTCTTCGACAATGAAGGACTTCCATGCGAGCTCTGCTTTCACTCTTCTTTCCAACTCTACGAGTCTTGCCATCCCTGGAAAGAGAGTGATTGGAAATAGGCTGTGATTTGAATTCGAATCGCCCCTGTGCAGGCTTGTACAGAGTTTCATAGCGCTCTTTTATGTTTGTGCGGTGCTTCACGATTGATTGGGGTTGCATGCTTGTCGAAGCTGGATCTGGAAAAAAGCGATTCAATCCGCAAGCAAAGCATTAGGAATTGCAATCGACATCACCACCGTACCCTCCGGCCTCAACACCGAAAGTGATATCTGTGCTGTTGGACTTGATGATCTATCAACTAGTGGTGCCTTTATTAGTCGGTGGTGATTGGTGAGCTTGTCATCATTCGTCGTCTCCGCAGTGCGGCGTGCGCTCACTATGAGGACCATTTTTTTGGTTTCGGCGGTTGAAGGCAGTGAACGGCTGTGTTTTGATTTCGGCATTTATCTCGCAATTTGTTTTTACTGCGCGTTCTCTTCGTTGGTGGCACTTCTCATGGTCTATGCAATTTGTATCGCCTTGATTTGTGGTTTCTATGCCTATATCTAATAACCATTCTTTGGTCAAACAGTAGTTGCATCTCTAGAAAGCGATTACACAGCAAAGGCTGCCCTTTTTAGAACTGTTACACCGGCATAAAATATATGCAGATTGGGTACAAAAGTGCGACTTACGCCTTCACAAATTCTTTTCCCCGGATTTCGTTTTCTTACCGAGACATAAATAAAGGCACCGGAAGGGTATCATGCATAAGATGCGAAGCAGACGGAAGGTCAATCTGGACAGTGCGAGAAATATGTGGCAGATCGTGTTGGTGACCGTGCAGAGAAAAGCGTTAGTCACAGCAAAATAGGTTATAAGCAAGGCCACTATCACTAGCAATGCTGTGATGGCGAGAGTCATCCACCATGTCAGAGATGTCTCCGCTAGATGTGTGAAGTCCGGCAAATTGATCTCGGAGAAAATTTCGCTTTCTCCTTTCAGAACGCGCCGTACGGCTCCCTCTAGGCTTCCTGTGTAGTGGAGTAATCCTGTGATCTTGAACTCGCTTATAGTTATTCCGCACTGGATTGTACATTTTCGATAAAATAGTGCTGTCTAGCTTACAAAGCTCAGGTTTGTTTGTACGCCCTGGTCTGTGCATTGTACTGTAAATGCGTCGTCACCGCATTGGATTTCTGTCCAAGTCCTGGGTGTAGACGACTTGCACGTAATCAGGGCTTTTGCTCCCTTAGCACATTTGTAGCATCCTTGGCAGTGTGCATCTTCACTCGTACAGACTGCTTGCGATCGCATTGCTGTTGTGTTGAATCTGCCTTTGATGCGTAGAACAAATTCCGCTGTGGGCAGTTGAGGTATTTTCGATACCACAGTGCCATTTATTGGGTGGAACTCAAGATTCGGCTGTAGTATGGGTAGTCTATACCGCGGTTCCCGGATCAGGGCGGTGAGGTTCACTTCTTTGCAGTCGCACTTCATTTTCACCTCCGCGGGCGTGCATTTACAGTCTTCTCTCACTTCACAGGTGAGGTTTGCTGCGTCCTGAGATGAAGCGCATGCTAGCGGAGGTTCCAGTTGAGTTGGTGTCTGTGCGATTATGGTTCCATCGGTGAGGAAGTTTGTATGCAACATAGGAGTGGGTGGTATGCTGATCGATGAGAGAGTGACTATGAATGGTGGTAGGCTCCTTGGTTGATTTGGGACTACGTGGAAATCATACTCTCGTGGAGATTGATCCGCATCGCTGACTTGCAGTTGCATGTTCACTATCGGTTTCCATCGGTTGCACTTGAAAAACTCATAGACTTTCTCATCATTTGGTATGAGATAAATTCTATAAAATAGACATCCCGAGCTGGGATAGAAGCAGTCGCACCCGGGGCCTCCACAGCTTTCCACGCAGCCTGTAATACCTGGAAAGTGGTTTGCCCTGTGCAGCTCGGATATCTGTGAAGTCCGCGTCACGTTTCCGCACTTCTCTCCTGTGCATGAGCCAGCATGAGGGCATCTCTTGCTATCCAACAGTGCATACCTGGTGCTTCTTGAGAATAATGTCGTTTGTTTCTCGCAGACCAGGTTGAGACCCTTCCACAGTAGATTTGCTTCCAAAACACTCGCATGATTGCTTCGTAAGCGAAGGCAAGCCTCTTGCTTGAACGGATTGATCTTCAAAATTTCTGCGGTGTCTATCGTGCAGTACTCACTGTGGTTTGTTATATAGCAAGACCGGCTGTGATGGGCGAATATGTTGACATCCTGGCACCCTTGAGCTGTTGCTATGTCAACTATGGCGAGGAGAATGACTTGTTCGGATAGTGAATATCTTCTACGGCGTCGACGGTAACTCGTTGGAAATGGGGATGTGATGAAATTCCACATCAGCTTGATCGACCACTTTCCGCACGATCCCGCGATTTTCAGGAAGTAAAGTAGTGGTGTTCCCATTACTACCGGTACGTGGAAGATACAATAACATACGGCAACTCCTGCATAAATCATGGGTCCTGTGGCTGCAATGGCTATCCGAGGCCAGCATTCCGGATTTGCAATCATCGCAGAACAGAAGACGCAGTCGATTTGTTTGCAGAAAGGAGCTGCCCTGCAGGTCGTCTCCATTATGGTGACATCTGTGCCATCGAATGTTTTCCATTTTACGAGGTGGTCGTGTAAGGTTATCTGTGGCGGAAACTTCACTATCTCCTGATGTCGAGGTGTCCGAAACTCTATGCAATACTCCTCTGCGCATATCTCATAGGGAAGTCCGTTGGATTGTGAGAGAATCACTCCTCCTTCTTTGCAATGTAGTTGATGATCACTTTTATTGGGTACCGCTCTTGTCGTCTGCACGCAAAGCGAGAGGAGCGCCACTGTGAAGAGTGAAGTGGTTGAGATGAGTCCTTTATCGCTTCGTTCTCTTTGTTCATCTGCCTCTTGTTCCTTGTAATTGATGCGTGCCCTCGGACGTAAATTATATCGAGCTTCTGTGTTTTCTTGCTGCTGTCTTGCGGGTGAGTCATCATCGCTATTTATTTCCAGCGGCACTATTCGATTTATTGGACGACGTAGTCTTCTTTTATTGGGAGTTTCAACTATGACTTCTCTTATCGTCTTCGAAGGTGAGTCTTCAATTTGTACTATCCTTGGTGTTTTCCATGTATTTCTCGGTTGTATCGCGTCCCAAAGTATAACGATGTCGCCTATTTTTGGTGTCCTTTTCGATCCACGTTTTTCATTCATCCTTATTTTGTGTTGCTCTCGAAGACTGGTGAGATATTGTTCTCTCCACGTTCGCCAGAATTGCTCTGTCAAGCAATTGACGTCTTCAATGCCGCTTCTGTTTGACGTTGCGTTGCTAATTGTTGTGCTTCTTCCGGTGTGTGATAAATCTTGTTTTGTCCTTCCTCCCCCATGTATCTTAGGGGGTAATCCAAGATTATCTCGTTCTGAAGAAAATCGATAGGCCGTAGCAAGGGTTGATCATCCCATTTTTCCTCTTGGTAGGTGAGTGGTCGGGAGTTTAACACGGCTTCTATTTCTGTGAGCGTTGTCCTCAAACCATCGAACGTTATGGGACGCACTCCCAGCGTTTTGTAGAGCGAGTTTTTAATGGAACGTATCAGCCTCTCGTAGAAACCACCCTGCCACGGTGCGTAAGGGGTAATATGATTCCATTTAATTTCTCGCCGTGCAATTTCGCTTTCAAATTCCGTGCTGTGTACCATATTTTCCATGGTGTCCTTGAGGATTTGCTCTCCCAGTAAGAACGTCGGTGCGTTATCGCAAGTAATCGTTTGCGGAACTCCTCTTCTTGCGAAAAATCTTCTTAATGCGTTCAAGAATGCTTCTGTCGTCATGTTTCACCAGTTCGAGGTGTATAAGTCGTGTAATTTGGCAGGTGAAGATGCATCCGTAAGCTTTGTTAGATCCTTCATAGTTATCCGTTACTGTTAGTGGACCAAAGTAATCCAATCCAGTGTGCGCGAATGGATTTGCTTTCTGCACTCTTGTAGTCGGCAAAGCTTCCATGTCAGGATAATAGAAGGGAAGGTTGTTCATCTTTTGGCACGGTACGCACCCTTTGATGATTTTCTTCACTTGCTGCCTTATTTTCGGTATCCAGTAGTTTTCCCGTACTGAGGAGATCGTGTGAGCGACTCCGCGGTGATAGTTGTTGTGTACTTCTGCGATGATGAGCTGTGCTAACGCGGTTTTTGATGCGATGTATATCGGTGTTTTCGTCGTAGTCGATAGATCTGACTTGCTTAAGCGCCCGTAACAGCGTAGCACTCCTTGCTCGTCCTTTCGGATGTTCAACTCCTTTTGTGATTTTATTTGATGTTCGCTCACGTAGTGTTTTTGGTGATCTCGAATTATGCACATTCTGCTTTCATGCATCTCTGCTCCCGTGATGTTCTGCGCCTTTGAGATTACTTTCAGTGCCGGAATGGTCCTTTGAATGGCTTCCTTTCTTTCTTCGGTAAAATGGTTTAGCGATTTCCCTATAAAGCGTAACACGTAGACGCATACTCTCTGGGCTTTCTCGAGAGAGCTGTATCTTTGTAGATCCATAATCTCGTCTTTTGATGCTTCTTTTGTTGTCGCTATTACCTCCACTAGAGCTGATGTCGTTTTTCCTTCTTCTGCGATCGTGGTCAGCTTCGTATAGTCTGGCTTGTTTATAAAGTGTGGTCCTTTCCACCATTGATGATTCTGCAGTGCTTCCGCTGTCAGTCCTCTTGATCCGCAATCGGCCGGATTTTCTGACGTTGTGACGTGTCCAAAGAAACACGTTACGTTTTGGTTCTTCAGATCCTTGTTTATCCGTCTCATTTCTGCCAGTCGATTAGTCACTAAGACACCTGCGCTCTGTCGGGTTGGAGGTGCTTTTATCCATGCCAGTACTTTGTCGGAATCTGTGTAGCATATAACCTCGTTAATGCGATAGATCGATTCCAGTTCTTTACAGATAAACCAAGCTAGCCGCAAGTCTAACGTTGCTGCGTTCATTTCCAGCTTCGGTATCGTCATCGCTGTCTTTATTGATGGGAGTTTTGATTTTCCCATTATCAGGTTGGATTCTTCCTCCGTCGTGAGGTACGCGCATGCTGCCATTGCCCATTGGCTAGCATCTGTAAAAACGACCAATCGCGCAGTGTTGGGTTTCCTGATGATTTGCCTGCTTATTTCCTTGTAGAATGTAGATATCTCGCTCGATATCTGCCGCCACTGATCCTGTAATGGTGCGGTAAGCGGCGTATCCCAATCCAGCTCTTCCTTCCACAGCGACTGAAGGAATATTTTGGCTGGAAGCAAAAGAGGCACTATGAATCCCATTGGGTCGTATATCGATGCTAGTTGCTGTGTAACGGTGCGTTTGGTAATCTTCTCCTTTGAAGCAACCATAGATCCTCTGATGATAAATTTGTCCGTCTCTGAATTCCAGGGAATTCCAAGGACCTTTGGACAAATGGATTTCATCCTATCCGCTTCGGCGATTGTTGTGTTGAATTGCTGGTCGTTGGAGCGGTATTCTCGAAGATTCATATTCAGCTCGCGAAATAGCGTTTTTGTGTGAGTGTATTTCGCGAGTGCTTCTTCGGATGACTGTGCTCCAAAAAAAGGTTATCTACATACAGGTTTTTCCTGATTTCCGGTGCCATATCGTCGTTACTTGCTGTGTTTTCTAGATGATAATCTATCGTCGCACTTAACAAGAACGGCGAAGCATTGAGACCGAAAGTGACTCGGGTAAACCTGTAGACCACCAAGTTGTCTGGCGTGGGTGGGAGCGTAATATCCCTTACCCATATGCAGCGCGTTGCATCGCGGTCTCTTTCTTGTAACCGCACTTGTAGAAAAGCCTTCTCGATGTCCGACATTACTGCAATCCGGTGGAGTCGGAACCGAAGTATCACTCCCACCAAGTCTGGTAAAATGAGGGGGCCTTGATGCAGGACGTCGTTCAAGCATGGGCAATCCTTGTAGTGAGCCGACGCATCAAAGACAATCCTCATTCTTGTTGTTTCTTTTGATGGCGTGATAACAGCCTGGTGCGGTAGATAGTGTATTATGCCTTCCGTTGGCTCATTTGGCGATACCTCCTCTATGACTCCCTTTTCCAACTGGTCCTTGAATGTTTTGTCGTATGCATTCAAGGTCTCCGTGTCATTCTGGTATATCTCCAAGACCTTTTCCAGTCTCTTGAGAGCCAGTGCTTTATTATCCGGAAGATCTGGATGGTCTTCTTTCCATGGCAAACGCACATAGTAGCCATCTTCTCGCTTTTCGATCGACTCCTTGAAGTCCTGGAGTACCTTCTCGTTTATCTTCTGCAGCTCGGTTTGCTGTGTACCAGTAAATTCTTCTGTGCCGGTTGATTCCAAAGACCAGTAACGGTCCCATATCTCCTTGTCGGTTTCGGAACCTTGTAAAGTGCATGTTATTGCCGGTCTTTGGCTACTTTGGCTTCGCCTGCCGCTAATAATGTACCCCAATTTAGTGGGTATTAGCTGCAAGCCTGATGGTAGACTCAGCTTTTTGGTAGACTCAATAAAGTTCCAGAGGTAATCACAGCCGAGTAAGATCTGTGGTTTCACTTCTCCCTCTTCTATTGGCATAGATAGGCGGTATTTTCCTTTTCGGATAAACTGCAAATCTTCCTTATTGAGGCTTGCTCGTTGTACGGCACTTGTGATGTAATCATTTTTGTAAAGTTGTACACTGTGCTTGGTTCCATTGCGATCCATCAGCGTTAAGCGCGTAATCGCACAGGTTTTGATCTTCGTAGCTGGCGTGCCGAATGTGTTCAATTCTAGTGAAGTTGTACCCACTACTGGCAAGTTGAGTTCATCTGCGAGTTGTTCCTCTATAAACGAGAGTTCTGAACCGGTGTCCAACAAAACGACTACTTCTCGGGCTTCTCCTTCGGCATTAATGATCTTAACTGCTCCGGTGAGTAAGATCACTTTGCCTTGTTTCCACTCGTTTTTCTTCTTCAGTTGCAGTACCAGTGGGGCCTCTGGCGTAACACTTTTCAATGGTTTTTGTTGATCCATTGAAGTGTCGTGTGCTTCTCGCTCCGTTATACTTTTTGTAACTGTATGTTGTTTCGAGTGGAGTCGAGCGGTGCCTTTCGTTTTTTGGAAAACTTTCTTTTCTGTGGGTTTTTGATGCTCTGCCAACTTGCGATGGTACTCCGGCTCTCTTAGCCTGCTTTCCGAGCATATTGCTGTTTGGTGCTTTTTGTGGCACTTTCTGCAGTTGCCGCTTGGGCACGACGCCACTCTATGATTCGCAGACCCACAATTGAGGCACCTGTTGGATTCAAGGAGGAACCTTTTCTTTTGTGCTGCTGTGGGAATGTCTGGGCAGAATGTCCATCTGTGTCCACTTCGTCCACAGCGCTCGCACCCTATGCTTTGTGTTCCTCCACTTCTCGGCTCTGTGCTTCTTCTATATTGTCGAGCTTCTGCCGAGAGTCTATCGTTCAGTTCTTCTTCTTGGGAAAGTAGCTCGTCAATGGCGTCTAGTCATTGGTTCAGTGTCCATTCCTGACGATCTTCGTTTTTCAGCTGTTTTTCCAACGCCGCTCTTCGTATGCGTACATGGAATTTATCCAAAAAAGTCTCGATTGTCAGTTCATTATCCAATTGCTGCTCGTGTTCTTGCAGCTGTGTTGCTATTGTGCTTAGCTGGTCCCATAATTGCCTTTGCTCCAATGTGCTAGGACCTCTTGCTGAACAGTTCTTCAAGTTTTTGTTCAGCTGCCTTACTATCCCGCTTTTATTTCCATATCGCTTAGTCAGGTGTTCCACGGCTTTCTCATAGTTGCTGGCCGATACGAAGAATCGCGAAACCGATTGTTTCGCCTCCCCACCTAGCGAGCTAAGCAGATAGTTGAACTTCTGGAGATCTGTGAGGTTTTGGTCGTGCACGTTGGCTTTGAATAAAGCCCAAAAATTATGCCATTCCCAATTCTTTCCTGTAAACATAGGAATGGGGATAACTGGGAGCTTGCTGAGAGCTACAGAACATTGGTGGTTTGTTCCACTTGTTCTGTAAGTGCTGCTTATTCGGTTCTCCAGTGAGGACCTGTGCGCGTGCAGTTTCATTATGGTTGCATGAGTTCTTTCGATGTACTTGTCGAGACGATCTTCTTCTTCATCTGTCGTTTCCGTTGCTTCATCGAAGGCCTTGGTTAAGTTTAGCAGAGACTTTTCCAAGAGGTCGATGTTCCTCTGACACGTATCTGCGTCTCTTTCCCAAACCCAAGTTTCCCCCTCTGATTGGGGTACCTGGCTAGATTCCTGTAGCCATTGCAAGGCTGCTTCATTTCTTTTGGTTACCAGTCCTTTAAGCGACCTAATTGTGCTAGCCATGCTTGGGTTAGTTTGTCTGAAGCTGTGCGTTAAGCTGTGAGCTCATGCAGTGTTAGCAATTGAAGCGTTATTTGAGTGCAACAATTCGTACCTGTGTTTGACCGGATGCACCAATTGTACGGAGGTTCGGTGTCTTATATCGGACTGTACGTTGTTGTTTGTTGCCACGCGGGACTTTAATTGTTTGTTGCACTGCGCGCACAGTACCTCAAACTTGGGTAATTAAACCTTTATTAGAAAATTTATCAACACATAAACGCGACTCTACAAGCAATCAATAATAAACAGTAATGAGCAACTATAAGCATTCTGGAATCCTACAAATAAACAGACCTCTGACTAAGCATAAAATATGCCTGTGACTCTGACTATATAGAAGCTATCTGTGAATCTATGGAGAACTCATAACATGCCACTAAAATATGTGATTGCTATGCATCTGAGCGAAAGGAGCAAAATGTCAACGGTGAGCTAAAAGCAATTATAAGAATGAGAAATGATGAAGAAGTGGAAGTTTAGCTACATTGAGAAATAAAATTGAAAGGGAGGAATTGCAACATGGCATTCTACGAAAATGTTTCTCTAAACTGCTTCTATCTTCTTGTATACGCTTTTACCTCAGCCTCCACATTCCACAGATAGTCAGCTGCAGCTCTGCGCCAGATGTTGATTGCTGTGACTCATATCAGGCGCAAAGAACATACGAACTGCGAAAGTTCGTATATAGCGTGTTTGCCGATAGATTGAAAAAACCGACAAAACTTTCGGACCCACCTAATATTTGCAAATAATTAAAATAACTCTAAAAGTTTTGAAATATTCAAATTAGCCTTGTAAAAAGCCTCGTCGCCTCTTTCCTTGAGGACCTTGTTATGGGAATTTGCGGTAGTACATATAAAGCTTATTTGGAAGTGACCATTTCTTTGTAAGACCGAAAAAACATCTCCTTATTCATAAAGAACCTTTTAAGAAGATTCCAAAATTGGTTAGAATATTTAGGCAACGAAAAAGCGAAAACAGAAGTAAAGTCTAAATGGTCCTCGCCATTATACTGCGAGTTCTGAAACAAGCACAATCAATGCTGCCATCTGCTAACTTCCTTCATGATACTGATGTTTCTGGCCCTATCTAGCTGGCGACTAACATTTTTAGCAGAATAGTATAAGTAATCTTACATGTTGTGAGAAATTCGACTCCTAACTGATTGAAGCGCATAATTTTTGGAAAAGCAGCTTTTTCCAAAATTGTACTTTTTTCTTAACAATGTCCTCGTTGTCACCAAAAAGCGGCAATTTACTAAACCTTCCTACCGCATAGCTCACTTTTTCAATGTAATCACTCTCAGACAGTCGAAGGGATACCTCCGGCGGGCATATGGCGCGAGTCTGCCACTTCGCGCTCCGGAGCCCTGCCATTTCACGCATTTTTGTGCTCCGGGGCTCTCCCAAAAGTGGAGCACCTCCGGAGCAGAGATTTGCGCGTCGCGGAGAGGTGTCTTATTCATTCACCGTGACGTCGCGGTGACGTCACATACAGGACGAATGGGATCCCTCTCCGCGACGCGCAAATCTCTGCTCCGGAGGTGCGCCACTTTTGGGAGACCCGGAGCACAAAAATGCGTGAAATGGCAGGGCTCCGGAGCGCGAAGTGGCAATCCTCCGCTGGGGAAAGCCCGCGACCCTGCCACTTCTGCTCCGGAGGTATCCCATCGACTGTCTGAGCTTCTAGACATTAAGGCAAGAAATTCTATTCTAATATCCTACTCAATGATTTACACGCAAAATGAGTCGCGGTAGCATTGGCTATATAATCTTCGTATTAGTGATCAAACGCACTGTTCACTCAGAATCTCTACTTCCAGGTTTTTGTCATTTCGGGGCCTTTTCATGTCCCTGACTCCGAACATGAAGTCAGAATCCGCGAAACTCCGAAAATTTTTGTTTCGGAGAACCCACAGGCCGGCTTTTTGGAACGGTGATTGGATGAGCGCGCAGGCATGGGCGGGCATGGATGGGAGGGCGATGAAGTATGGGGGTCCTCGTGCATCTTCGTCAATCCGGAGCAATTTTCTCGCTTCCGAAGCGACATTTTGCGCCGCTACTTGGACATTGGCTTGATAGGGGGCTCTACCATCATATGCTGCCAAAAGCACAAGACCCTCGATACAGGGTGACCCTCGGTACCTTTAACGTAGGCCTAGTAAGTTTGCTCTCGCAGGAGAAAACTCAAATTACTCCGTTAGCAAAAAATGAAATAAACCCCCTTTTCATAGGAACCCGCCTACGGCGCCAGGTTGGTAGCAAGAACAATGTTAGGGTTTTCAGAGCGCCTTTTGAATCGGACAAAAACGACACGTGCCCGGACGACACGCCATTGAGACTGCCTCATGCTCTGCACCTACAACGCAAGGACAGTCTCCGAAACGCCGACCTCTACGTTCTTCTCAACGCATGTGGCACGTCAAGTGCCACATCATTGCTCCGCAGGAAACGAAGTCCAGGAAGAAAGACGTGCGACAGATGAGTGATGAGGCCCTCATTCGTAGTGAGAACTTTTCATCACGGATTGTTGAAGGCGTTGGCTTTATCGCCCACCACTCTATCGTCCATCTTGTCACTTCGCAGATCCTATCACCTCGACTAGCAAGCCTACAACTACGACCGCCACGTCAGAAGACCATCATCATCAACTGCTATTCAACATCAGTAGTTGATGGATCAAAACTAGATGCTCTCTGTAAAAATGTGGAGGAGGTTGCCCTCAACGAGAAGTCACTAGAAAAAGAATAAGGGTCTGGAAGTTTGGATATGGGCTCCGGAACGAAAACGGCAACCGTCTCGCTGGGCTTCTCTCCGTCGCACGACTCTTCCATGGAAACTCCATCTTCTTGAAGAAAGAACATCGCCGGTAGACATGGGAATCGCCCAACGGAACAACTCACGCGGAGATCGACCACGTTCTCAATCAAAGGCGGAGCTTGCTCGATGTCTCGCTAATTCCATCCTTCTGCAATGGCTCCGATTACGGCTCCTTCGAGCGAAGATACCATTCGATCTAAAGCTGGAAAAGAACGTCTGTCACAGTGTCACAAGAAGGGAGGAAGTCGTTTATGACTGTAACAGGCTGGTTCGTATCAAATTGTGGCTGGCCCATCGAGGAGGACCCAACGCACGACTACGATCGGCTTCTGAAGGGTTGCGAGCCTGCCGAGAGTGCCCCTCAGGGCAAGCCAAGATAATGGAAGCGGCTGAAGAAAGACGAAGTCTTAGGAAGTACCGAAGGGAACTGTGTGAATATCCGTCCACTGGCTGCACTTTTGAACGAAGACGGGACCCCGACTTCTTCACGACATAAGATGGAATCTATCGCGAAAAACTATACCAACCTGTTCCGCTCATCAACACCCGTGCTGACGATCGTTGTTCACACTAGAGAATTACCACCACGAATTCTACCTGCTGAAGTGCGCACAGCGATTCAGACCATAAAGAAGTCAATGGCTCCAGGATCAGACCGCTTTTCCGTCGATTTTCTGCTAGCCGGGCAACGTCTACACGAGATTATCGCGTAGCACCTGACATCTTATTTTCAGAAGGAAAGGATTCCCGACCAGTGGAGAACGTAAATAATGTCCTTCTTTGCAAAGGGGTGAACCGGAGAATTTTCAGAACTACCGTCTATTATTGAGTGTGCGGTACAACCTTTTCTCAAAGAATATCCTCGCTCGCATATCTAGGACACTGGGTGAAGCCTGACCCAAGGAACAAGCTGGATTTCGCCATGATTCAGCTGCATAGATCAAGACGGTTTCGAGGGTCATAGAATTCTGCCGGGAGTACCGACTGCCTCTCGTCCTAACCTTCGTCGTTTACGAGAAAGTTTTTGACAGCATCGAAACCAACGCTATCCTGTCACGCTAGTCGATCAAAGAGTGGACCCAGCTTATGAGGACGTTAGCCGACTACTACAAGGACTGCACAACGACGATGCAGCTGTTTCATCGCCTCCTGACCATCCCAATTTGGAAATGGGTCCGACAAGGCGACACAATCTCGCCAAAGCTGTTCACCGCGGCCTTGCAATGGGTGATGAAGTCACTGGATTGGGACGAGAGAGGCATACGAGTTGATTCCTGTCCAACCTTTGTTGTTGTTGTTCCCTGCTCCAACCAACCCATGGGCCGGGCTATGGGAACGGTGATGATTGTATGGGCGCGCATGGATGGGCTGGCATGGATGGGGAGGGCGGTGAAGCCCGGGTTCTTCGCGCATCTTCGTCAATCCGGAGCGGTTTTCTCTCTTCCGAAGCGACTTTTGCGCCGCGGCTTGGGTATTGATAGCGGCCCGGATTGATAGGGGCCCTACTATCATATGCTGTCAAAAGCTCAAAATCCTGAATTCAGTGTAGACGGTGCCTTTAACTTAGGCCTGATAAGTCTACTCTCGCAGGGGAAATCTCAAATTACTCATTCAACAAAAAAAAATGAAATAAGCCCTTTTTATCGGATCCTGCCTACTGCGCCGTGTGGTAGCAAGTCTGCCCGGACGACACGCCATGGAGACTGCCTCATGCTCTGCACCTACAGCGCCAGGACAGTCTCCACAAACGCCAACCTCCACGTTCTTTTCGACGCTAAAGAGCACGTTAAGTACCACGTCCGCTCTGCAGGAAACGAAGGTCTCGAAGAAAGACATGCAACGGATGAATGATAGAATCCTTATTATTCATGTTGAAGAAGAATGTTGAGAAGGTTTCATCACAAAATGTGAGGCGTTGGCTTTGTCGTCCACCCATCTATCGTCCATTTTGTCGATTCACATGAGATCCTATCACCTCGACTAGCAATCCTACAACTACGACCGCTACGTCAAAGACCATCAGCATCATCAACTACTACTTACCAACATCAGCAGCTGACGATGTAGAACCACATGCTTTCTACGAAGATGTGGAGCAGGTCGTCCGCAAAGAGAATTCCTATTACAAGTTTGTTGTGGGCG